TATTTAGGTTTACTACATTTCTATTAAAAATCAGAATACTAAATAAGCTAGATTTTCATGAAACATTTGCTTCATTATGTTATTTTCTGAGAACATGAGATGTCCTTCTTTAAATTAAAGAAAAATATAGAACGTGGTTTAAGGAAATCTCTTGATATTTACACTGAAAATGAAATTTGAAGCTCTTAGGGATTTAGCATTCATTTTGTCTCCATTTACTTAAGTATAGACATAAAACAGTGTAGGAGAAAGAACCCTGGAGTAGGTCAGGAGACCTGGATTCTATTACTAGCTCCATCAAAAGGTCATAATGAGATCTTGAGAAAGTCACTTACCTTTTTAAGGCACTTTGGATTAAAATATGAGGGGAATTGAATTAGAGGAGCTCTAGAGTTCCAATGACCTTTTGGGTCATTTCTTCCCTGTAACTTATCTTAGTTAGGTATCCTTTCTATTACCCTCCTTATGACATTACGAAAGTTGCCAGTCTTTATAATATTAGGGGAAACTGTAGCCTGCTAGAGATAAGTCCCACCTATGGATCCTACTCTATTACCTTTCAAACTCAAAAAAGCCAAACCAGGTTCCAAAAGTAGTGTCTGAAGACAGGGCTAATGTTTAGCTTTAAGGTCCTAGAAGTCTTTGACTTTACATGGGACCAAAAAACGGAAAAAAAAAAGCCTAACCTGGCATCCGAATTTTGAATTATTGCCAACTCTGTATATTTTCTGTATTTTGGTCTTCACTAAAAATTCACATCTGAATTGTACAGGATTGACATGTTTAGTTTTAAAATGACATGTTAGCAAAAATTTTAATTTACATTAAGTAGTTAGTTTATTGCATACTGCTCAATCCCACAAGATTTTATTTTCAATTCAATTCAACAAAGGGATTTAGAAGACTTATGTTATATAGTTAGTGGAAGTTGTACAGCTATATTCCATTATGAGTTGAATGTATTTTTCTTTTGTAGATTTGATTTAAACGTTGAAGGAAATAAGCAGTATCTTAAAACTCATTTGGATAGAAACCACATTTTGTACAATAGGTATATGGTACTCACTACATGCAAAACTTAATTTTTAAGTACCTGAATCACTGTCAGCCCTTAAATATTTACATACCCAAAGTGACAAAAACCTTACAGATACAGAATTTGAAGTATTTGTTTACAAACTGAAAATCAGAAAAAGTCAACTATTTAGACTAATGAATAAAGAATACTCAAATCTGAAAATAAATACTGCTGTGGTTATTTTTTTCAAACCTCCCTAGTATACAGCAAAATCGTTCAGATCCTCAACAGAAAAATATCAGAGTATAATAAACAAACTTGAGAAAAACCGTAACACTCTGGTTGGTTAATTACCTTGAATTTCTTTCTTAATTTGTTAATAAAGTGTGAGTTACCTCATACACATTACAGAAATTTCTTAAAAGTTTAAGCTGCATTTGTGCAACTTTTAAAGAAGAAACATGAGATTATAAACAATATGAAACTAGTTATCAGAATCCACTTTTGAAAAAAAAATTGTTCCCATGAGGAAAGTGACTGGAAAAAACAATTATGGAATTCCCTTACAATTCCCAGAGGATATATCCTAGAGATTCCTGAGAATATAGTGCTGAATAGAATTCTGCAAGGGGAAACAGCTAAAACCCCTTAAGAAAGGTTAGAAAAAGTGTCTAGTCTACTTAATAGGAAACTTTAAGCAAAAATAACTTGCCAGTAAGGAGATTCAAAAATGAATCAAAGAAATAAAATGGTAGTTGTTACAATAGCAAAACTAAGCTTCTGCTTGTCTGTACCTTTTAGCTACTAGTTATTTGGTCCCTATGGGAGAAAAGTATAGATAGTAGCCATGAGGAAGCTGGTTCTAGGGCTTATTAGAAGACAAAAGTAACAGGTGACATCTCTCTAACAGCTGATGTGTCTTAAGTAGTCAGGAAAAAAGCCTTCAGGTAGATACTTTTTAATATGCAGAAGCTCTACAACACAGGCAGTTTTGAAGAAGGAGAAAGAAGGAAAGAGAGCAGCCAAGCATTCTAGTCTGTAGTTCCATGGTACAAAAACAATCATATTCTTAGTATGTTATAAAAAGTAATGTAACAATGCAACATACAGTACAGTCTCCTGAATGTAAAAGTATACAAAGTTAATTTTTAAAAAAATCTTTTTATACTGAATGGGAAAGGAATATAACACACTGAGATTATTTGAAACCCCAGAGGGTTTTCTATCCTGGGTTCTATAGACCTTTCCAAAAGTGCCCCTTAAAATAGCATATTAATGTTTTTTCTTTTTGTTGTGCTAAATTATTTACATCTTATGTAATCACTCAAAATTGGGTGCAAAAACTCATTTCCATTTAAAAAACTAAAAACAACCTATTTTACTCTGAATGGAGATGTGATAGTTTAAAAATTTGACAAACTATCCAGCTAAGCAACCTGGAAATCTTTCAGATTGCCTCACAAGTTTCTTCAATTTTTCTTAAAATGTCCTCTAATCATGTTTTTAAAAAAATTCATCAGTAAGAAAGAGTAGAGCACTACTTCACCTTTAAAGCTATTTTCAAAACATTTTTTGGTATAAGCTGACCAAAATATTTTTAGATATGTCCACTAACAGGAATAAAAGGGCTTTGAGTAATTTTTTAAAAAAGCTCAATGTATTTCTAGTGATAAGCATTAATTATAAACAGTATGTACCAAGTAATTTATGATGTTTGGTTGTGTTTGAATTAGGCTTCACCATTTGTCAAATACTTTGTTGAAGATTTTCATTTTAATTCTGTACAGATCATTGGATCACTGGATGTACATTATGTTACATTGCCCTTAAAAGATACATGTTATCTTTTATAATTCAAAGGATCTCATAATTTTGCTTGTTATGAAGTAGACAAGATTAATAATTTACATAAGATCTTAATTTGAGTCTTCTGCATTTCTTTAAAAAACACAGACTCTAGAGCGATAAAATATAAGTTTGAATCCTAGCTTTGCCACTTGCTTACTGGGTACACTTGGGTGAGTCACAGCCTTTGTGAACTCATATTTCCATTAGTAAATGGGGATTATACAATTTATATATACTATCTACTTTCACAGGGTTATTGTGAAGAAAATGCTTTGTAAACTTTAAAGGCCTACTTTGCATTGAGTTATCATTTTTCAGTGATACAAGGAACTAAAAATTTTCTAATTCCTCTAAAAATTTACCTCATTATAGTTTCATTCTATTTGCAAAAATTATCTTTTCTTAGCATGCTGATTAATTTGGGGCATTCACAGAATGCTAGTAATATCAACTACAAACACCAAAATCACAATTTTGGAAGTAAATCCATATTCTTTGTTTCTGTAACTATTAGCTATAGATCTAACACTTTTTTTTAAAGGGTGCCTTTGAAACAATACATTTCACTATAGTGCAAGGCTATTACATAAGAATAAAAGGAAGACCCACTGGATTGCTAAGGAAGTGCTTCACTTCCCACCAAAAAGATGGTTACTACCTTGGTGACCTAGCACAAGTTCATACACCTTACAGGGCCTCAGTCAGGCCCTCCAGTGCTTAGCATAGTGCCTGGCCCAAAATAGGTCCATATAAATGCTAATTAACGAATTGACTAACTTAGTTTCCTTATCAATAAGAGGAGTTGGACTAAATCACCAGAGGTTCCTGTAGGTATAGAACTAAGATCTGACAATGACAAAAACTGATGGTTTAATCTTGAATGAGCTACATATAGACTGTTGAGGGAAAAAGTCTTTTTGAATAAAAATTCTAACCATCTATTCAAGATGTCTACCAAATAGTACAGAAACAAATCTGTAGAAGGAAGAAAATCTTAAATTTGGTTTTTATTTTTAGATACATTTAGCATAGGACAGAAAAAAAATAAAACACAATGAATATGTTCAAGCTAATGTTGTTTTAAACTCAATATAAATGCATAGCATAGTACAGAACTGAATCATGGAAAATATTCCCCTGAATTCATTCTTCTGAACTCCAATTTGGAAAAGAAAAGTTATTTTCTCATCTTTAAAAGAATAGATATCAATTAGTACCTGTAAATTTTAATGCTTGAATTGCAGTTAACAGGTCAGCTGCCATAAACCCAAGTTCTCAATTAGAAGACTCTGTTAGCTGCAGTAGCTATTATCAAAACAAAAACATTTTTAAGGCTATTCTTGGGTCTACAGTACAGATATTACAATAAAATCACCAATACGTTATCCTGATGTTTATGTAGTAATTTCTTCATATAAGAAATTTAGTTCTAGGAAATAGTGTTAACCTAATTTCAAAGGAAATTAAACCTCAAAGTATGAAAAGTAAACAGAATAAACGACAGCCTAATACTGTATCCACACTTTATAAAGAGAAAAAAATAAAACTGAAAAATTGTAGGATCTGGAGATATTGATAACTACTTTCTTTTAACTTATTTATTCTGTCTTAAGTCACTAGTAAATGGTTAAACCAGAAAGATTAAATTAACACTGAGTTAATGTTCTATTGTCCCAGTCTAGATTTCAATTATATTTCCAACTGCTAGGAATACTAACCTGCAATACAATCAAGACAATGTGCAGAAAAATAATCTTCCTGTAACTTATAATGCAACAAGAACCAAAAAACCCCATGGGTTACACAATCCATTAGCTGTTAGGTCACTGAGAAAGTTTAGTTCATTCTATTTATTAACATACAAGCTACTATGTAGAGCTTACTTCTAAACTCCTCAGAATTTTCTCAACATAAGTTAAAAAAAATATTTCCCCAATTATGTGTCTTTGAAGATAAATTATCAGTCCTATTTTTACATCACAGTATACATGGCATTTCTTAATTCAGCAACAGAAAGGCACAATTAAAAAGCAGTAAAATATAGTACCTGAATCATTATAGAGCTATCCAGAATGAATGCAAACCAAAGTATTTTACACTGTACACAGAACTAAATGAAACAAAACCCAAAAAATTTTGAATGCAAAAGTTAATTTTACTTCAAATTTGGTCCATTAAATGCCTCCTGTGTAGATCAGTAAGTATAGCATGAAAGGTGGTAGGAGGAGGCAATAAACAGATAAGTGGTTTGCATACTAATTCTGTTTTCATTAACGATATAATTAAATTAGAAAATGGCTCACATTCTAGATAAAGGAAATTTTTTTGTCAGGTTATCACAACATACCTGGGTTAAATCCAAATACAAAGGCATAACTGTATGCATATTATTTATGTTTATTTATACAGCCCCATAGTTTATTAAGACTCACATATAATATATATTAGCTACATAAATATGTATTATGTACCTAAATATATATTATATGTAGATCTATAACCCGAATTATACATAGCAATAAAACACCCCAAAACATCATACTTAAGGGATATCCATAACTTTCTCCATGTTGAAATTGTTCAGCATTCTCCAAAACAATATCCAGATGCAGTGGTAAAAAGCACTGTCTGTTTTACATTCACTTAAATACTTATTGAAGTAAAATTCCTGCAAAAGCATTGATCTGACTTTTGCCTCAGAATTATTGTCACATACTGCCATCCTTCCTCTAAGTGACAGGCCATCAAGAAAGGCCAATAAAGAAAAATAAGCAAGGAACCAGAAATGTGATAGAGAAGCCAACCATTCCATAGGTTATATAACGATAAGTAAGTTCAACTTCCATGCACTGTCTTGCTTTTCGAACATCATCACTTTTTATACCAAACATTTTACAGGCTAATGGGATAGTGATCTTTTTCATTACAATTCTCATTAGTAACAAACATACCATTCCTATTAGAATCCGTAATATGACTTTTCCAAAACGAGTCACGGTGATGGAGGGAATAGTTAAAGGTAATATATCAAGAGGAGGATCTGACATTAGACCAATGTGGTAAGCAATATGAGATCCACATGCAATTCCTGCACCACTGCCCAGGATCTGAGCTGTATCTCCACGTGATGTACTCCAAGTGTCAAGGGTGAAGGAAAAGATCCCCAGGGCTAAATGCAAACTGATGATAATTAGTGGAGAATATTTATAAATTTGGTTGAAGTTATCAATCAGCTCCACATATGGATAGAAGACAGCTAAGATAAAAATAGCATACAGGAATCCAGCAATAATGTCCTGAAGATAGAAAGAAAAAATAGTTTTAGTCATGTGTAATTTTGTTCTTTTAAAGTTAAGACTTTTTAAAATTCAGAAAACTGAAGGACTATTAACTTTAAGAAAACAATAAAGTGAACAAAACAAAATCTATACAATGAGTGTAAAGAAGAATAAGTAAAAGATAAAAAAAAATTCTGCCATTTTTATAATTAACCAAAGCTTAACAGACACAATCAATCCCAAATAAGTGAAATTATGTCTAAAATTTAGGATAAGTTGTCATAATAGAAGTCATAGATATGTGAACTGTTACAGGGTTTCAAAGAAAATTTCATTTTCATGTTTCAAATATAAAAGCATAAGCACAGCAAAATCAAATAACCAAATAGTTTTTTTTTGTTACTGGGGGGAAAAAAGATGATGTTTAGAAAATATTCCCATAACAGGGCAGCTAGGTGGCGCAGTAGATAGAGGACCAGCCCTGGATTCAGGAGGACCCGAGTTCAAATCCGGCCTCAGACACTTGACACTTACTAGCTGTGTGATCCTGGGCAAGTCACTTAACCCCACTGCCAACCCCCCCCCCAAAATCCACATAAAACTTCAATCGATATTATTCTGACTGTAGTATGCCGTAACAAACAAGGGACTGAATCTTTGGGCTATGTACTGCCTGGAAGAGAGATCTGGCTCCTTCTTTGTCAGAACTGGTCTGAGGTTCAGGCCAGCTATAATTGTGAACAACAGCCTTAACCTTATGAAAAAATTTTAAGAGTTAGATGTGAGAGGAAGAGGGACTAACTACTATAGTTATTCATCATCTTATACTAGAGTGATGATTTCTGCCATAATTTTTTCTTAAAAATATATCAATTTCCTTTTATTAAACATCACTCTCAATTCCCAGTGATCCTCCTCTGCCCCCCTAAGAACTCTCCCTCATATAGCTGAATAAAATAAGTCAAACATATGGCTCATCATTCCCCAAATGATAAAGGGTTAAGGAATATGAACTGCAATTTTCAGAGGAAGAAATCTAAGCTATCAATAGCCATAAGAAAAAAAAATACTTTAAATCACTAATAACTAGAGAAATAAAAATAAAAATAATTCTGAGATTCCACTTTATACCTTTCATTCAATGAACATTTATTGAGCCTACTATGTGCCAGGCACTGTGCAGAGATCTGAAGATACAAAAAGAAGCAAAAGAAAGTCCCTGCCCTCAAGGAGCTTACTATCAGATTGGCAAAGGTGACCAAAAGAAAAAAAAGGGAAAAATAACAAATGTTGGTGGGGCTGTAGAAGAATAGATACAATAATGCACTGCTGGTGGAGCTATGAACTTATCTGACCATTTTGGAAAGCAATTTGGAAATAGGCTCAAAAAGCTATTAAACTGTGCATACCCTTTGACCTAGCAATACCACATTAAGACTACTGTATACCCAAAAGCTGGAGGTAGCTAGGTAGCTCAGAGGATAGAGCTCTGGGCCTGGAGTCTGAAAGACATGAGTTCAAATCTGACTTCAGACACTTTCTAGCTGTGTGACCCTGGGCAAGGCACTGAACCACTGTTTGCCTTAATCCATCAGAGAAGGAAATGACAAACTACCCCAGTATCTTTGCCAAGAAAACTCTACGGACAGCACAGGCTTGCTAGGGTCCATGGGGTCATGAAGAGTTGGACAGAACTGAACAATAACAACGTTTAAGAAACAACAAATGTGATGAATACAGAGAAATATGTAACGATTTACATGAACTGATAAAACATGATGTAAACGGAGAAAACAGCCTACACAATAATGACCATGTAAATGGAAAGAACAACCCCCAAATAATTAAAGATCAATGTTCAGAAATCATAAGAACAAAATGAACTGAAGACATTTTCATGGCCTTTTGACATCTAATGGGCACTAAAATTTTTGATCAATGATTAAAGGAATTTCCATGGTGAACACCAAGAAATGGAACAGTAGAGATGAATGAAAATAGCAAGTTATCAGCCAATTTTTAAAAGGCTGGTTCTTTAAAAATACTTTTAAAGAACGAAAAATTGTGAAAAATTCACAGATGCTCATATCCTTAAATTGCCTAAGAGTTTTATATGATTAAATTCCAGAGTTAAAGATTCCACTGTTATAGTAGTTGCAAACACTCGTAACAGTTTAATCTTATAATGTGCTTTACTTACATTATCTCATTTGTTCCTAATAACAACTCTGTAAGGAAAGTAGGCAACTATTTAGTGGTCTAGTGGGCAATGTTATCCAATTATGTCTATTTTGTGGATGAGGAAATGGAGGCACAAAGAAATAAAGGTGACGTGTCCTAAGACACACAGCTAGTACTTGTCATACCTGCAATTTCTGGGCTTCTGACTAAGTTCAATGATCTAGTTTCCACTACAGCATGCTCTCTATCTGTTCTGTTTTAAACAAAGCTTTACCTGACATAGGGGTCTGAGAAGGAAATACTGGTAACATGGGGCTCTAGCTCTATTCTTTAAACCTCAGACTCCAAATACTAAAAATGAATACATAAACAAACACCCCAAAGTTTACTCTTTTACAAACCCACATGTAAATGTCTTTTGTTTACCATTGTGTCCTCTCCTACCCATTATGTGATTTTCTATGGAAGAAAAAGAGCCACAGAGACAGGCAAATGTGTCTGAATATTCGGTTATAACAACAGAAAGCTGTTAATTACTTTTTCTTTTCACCTTTAATGATGTTTTAGATTTTAAAAATATATACTGTGCTGAAACATTTAGTGACTTAATTTTTATTCTGAGAGCTACTCTGAGAGACACTGTGTGATTGTGGTCTCAAAATCAGGAAAACCTAGGAGTATATCCTGATTGACGCATTCCACTTTATGACCCTGGTTTAGTTACCCAGCACTCAGCTCAGAACACAAAGAGTTCTAGGCACCTCTCTTAAGGCTCTAAAGTACAGAGCAGCTGCACATCTGCACCAAAAGAGAGTATTTCCTTACCTAAGTTTTATATACCTAGTTCAGAGGTAGGGAACCTGCAGCCTCAAGGCCATGTGTGGCCTTTTGAATGAGTCCAAGTTTTACAGAACAAATCCTTTTATTAAGGGGATTTGTTCTGTGAAGTTTGGATTCAGTTGAACTAGATCCTAGTTCATTTTTCACATATTAGCTGTCACAAGGATTTATACTTCTGTGAAACTACACTTATTATAATATATAATATGCTTTATAAGGTTGATACAAATGAAATTAGCTATATTAAGAATTTGTAAAAATTTAAATGCCTATTTTAGGTAGTATGTATTTCCTCTAAAAGGTTTGTTTCACGTTACCTTAGTAAAATTAAAAAAAAACCAAAAACCAAAAACCGGACTCATTGAAATTATCTTTAGAAAACTCTTTTTAACCATTGAACTTTACTGTTAGAAACTTTCAAAACTGAAAGCTACAGTCAGCTGAGTCAATTTGTACTTTAACAATTGTATTTTTCAATATGACAAAAAAATTCCTTATTTCTTTTCCTTACTTCACTGTTTTTTATGGTTTCATGAGAAATTTTCACAATGTAATGTTATATTCAGTATGCTACAAAAGTACTTCACATAAAAATATTATCTGGTGGCTATACTGGTTAAACTATTTAATCATTTAAGACAGTGTCCTTGCCTGTGACAGCAGAATAAACTTTGATAAAATTGGCCTAGAACCAAGGAACAATCAAGTTCATATGATGAATATGAGGGACCCTGTATTTGAGCCAGTAAAAAGTCCAACTGACAGCAAAAATTGGCATGAAAGTATAAACTAGTAATAAAAAGCTCCCTATTTTAGTTAAATTTAATAAAGTTTCTACAAATAAACACTCCAACAATCAAATTTATGACAAAAAAAAGTTTTAAAGAAGTGAAATATATTGTATATAGTTAAGTATTGTGGAAAACTTTTAAGCTCTAAAAATGATCAGAGGGGGTCAGAGGATAAATGAGCTGGAAAGCTTTAGAAATCATTTGTCCAAACCACGAATCATGAACCTTCTTCTGTATGATTTCCCTGACAAATTATTCATCTAGCCTCTGTTCGAATGCCTTCAGAACACTATTGATCACTATAAAATTTATGGCATAATACTGTTTCCAAAAAATGTCGTATCGTAGATCTCCAGAAGATTCATGGAATGTTAAGACAAGAAAGGATCTAAAAATCATCTTATTTTACAGATAAGAAAATTGAGGCCCACTGTTACTTTTTTCTGTCTCTAGGAATGCAATTTCTGATAATAAAGTATATTGTTAGAAGACAGCTCCTTTATTAATAGAGGCACTCCCACAGCTTGACAGTTCCAATATTTACAGCTATTTTCCTAAAACATTTTTTCTGTTGCATAATTATATAAAAACTTTTAATATGCTGTAGTTGTAGGCCCAATGTATAATACAATAACATGTAGCATTAATGTCACAAATGCAGAAGTACAAAAAGATTCTTTGGAGATAACTCAATCAAATAAATTTAAAATAAGGTTGAATTTTTTTTTAAGGAAATTAAAGTTTGAAAGCTTGCTTTAAAAAAGTTATACTAAAGCTCTTCTACTACTTTCCCGTAGACTATGGAAACTGTTACAACTATCAGCAACATCGAGGAAATATAATAAATGATTTTATGTTGTTTTCCCTCAAAAAATGTCCTTAAGGATAAGAATTTCTTCATTTGTCTTTGTATTTCCAGTGAGCAGCAGTACTACTTAGTGTGAGTTCAGTAAATATTGTTGATTATATTTTAATAAAAAAGAGAGCACAAAATAAATGATGAATAAAGTTGCCATTGTGGAATTTAGAGTAGATTGTTATAGCTCCTTAACCATCGAGCTCAGTTGACTGCTCTAAAAAGTCATGTGCGTTCATTAATAAATTATAGAGAAACCCCTGCTTGCTCTTCTGAGCTAATTTTAGAGTAAACATTGAGGAGAATAAAAAAATATATCAAAGAAACTGGCTTGAGTTAGGAAAGATGTTAAAATTTAAAGTATTAGCAATGTAGGAAAAGTTATCATTTGTAGTTCTGTCAAGTGTCATAATGTAAATAAAAGGGCTTATCAGTAATAACTCAAATATCCAGTTATAAAAGTGGTAAGATATAGAACCTTAATGACTTTGCATAGTCATGTGTATACAACTATTATTCCTAATACTTTCAACTTGTCCTTGATCTAAACTTTTTAAAGTCAAGAAAACAGAGGACCCGTTCCATTAGTGATAATGCACAAAGGCCCAAAGAAGCAGTAGCTTTTCTGACCAAGAGGCTGTTCTGCAGAACTGACCTTGAACAGTCAAAGGGGGAAGATGGTCAGAACCATGGGTGATGCTATCATACATCCACTTCATTCATACATCTTTTTCAACTTGTTCAAAGACTTAACATCATTGAAGATGTAAAAAATAGAAAGAAAAAAAAAGATCTTGGATCAAAGGATCAGAAATGTCTCATTTCACTTGATAATGTACACACAAAAAAAGTGTAATCTTAGGGAACTATATCAATGTCAATGTATATTTCCTTTCTACTAGTTGTTGACCATGTCTGAGTCTCAGTTTTGCCACTTGTAAATTGTGGATGAGATTTATATGACCTACTTCACACAGCTGTGAGGAAATCCCTTTGTAAATTCTAAAAGCCTAAATCTCAATATGCTATATAAAAATTGGTTATTATAATGACTACCTTTTGATTCAAAATTTAAAGGAGAACACAAACTCCTTGAAGATAGAGATCATTTAATTTTCATATTCCCAGTTTCCAGAATAGGACCTACCACATAATAGGTGCTTAATAAATGTCTAATAAATTTAAAGAAGCATTACAACCACTCAATCAACAAACATTTATTAAGCATCTTCTTTATGCCAAGCACTGAGCTAGGTGCCTGGGAAACAAAGACAAAAATGAAGCAGTCCCTGGGCAGCTAGATGGCGCAGTGGATAGAGCACTGGCCCTGGAGTCAGGGGGACCTCAGTACAAATCCAGCCTCAGACACAGAACACTCTCTTAGGTGTGTGACTCTGGGCAAGCCACTTAACCTCAATTGCCTCACCTCCTCCCCCCCAAAAAAAGTGGCAGTTATCCTTGAGAATATGTAAATTTTAAAACCAAATTTCTTATTACTTTCTATCTAATGAGCATATTCTAAAAATAACTGTCAAATCATGAAGTTAAGAAGGAAAGGACCCTATCAGTCATTTAAACATATCTGCTACCTCAAAGAAATGCCTAAAATACTACCTACCTACCATTAAATTTTTTTTAAGATAATAAAAAAAATCTTCCTACAGTTGATTTTCTAGAAATCTGTTATATGTAAACTCTGCTAATTTTCAGAGAAAAACTAAAATAAGGCACACAGGGTAACTGGATTACACATTAACCAGCTAAAACATATATACATGATAAAATTATTCTGACCATAAACTTAGGGGAGAAGAATCAGGAAGAAAAAAAGTATACCTGAAATAAAATGGCAATTTAGAGGATTTACAAATAACTTTAATTAAAAGCAAACAAAATTGTCATTAAATAGAGATCCCTAAGTGATAGTAAATGCTACCTGGGAGTAAGGAATCTGAATGAGAATTAGTGATTGGAAGGGATATTTCTATGGGAAAAAAGTAGTAGAAAGTATTTAAAAAAAAAAGAACAATATTAGATCATTAAAGTAAAGAAACATTGATTATGGCAAATACAAATATCAAGGATAATGTATTTAAAAACACTGAAACTCCTTGGAACACAATCTCTTCATCTGCAAAATAAGGGAGCTGGATTAAATCTAAAGTCCCTTTCATTTCCAATGTCTTATGATTCTAAGCACAGCCATAAAGCCCGAACCCTTCCTGTGACTGCTGTTACACAAGTTGAAAAGTATTTGTTCACTAAATCACCTGATGCTCTGTTTGACGGTTAGATTGCATGCAGTTGCAGTCACATAAAAGCTCTCACCTACTAGAGAAAGTACTGAGCTACTGTCAATTGACAGTACCTGAAATAAGATTTTTTAAAGTATCTTGATACTTTGGGCTCACTTTTTCAGCTAATCACTGAACTCAGGACTTCCCTTACATTGCAATTGTCAGTCAACTAAACCAGAACAAGGCTTGAATAAAAAAGAGAATTAAAATCTTGAAGACTTAGGGGGATTTCTGTAGGGGGAGGGGAATTTGAAAATCTCTTTCTCATTCTCAGCATTACCCTCCGTCAACTGATATTGGCTGATTGTTACTAACAAATACTTGGGTATCCATAACATATAAAAAGCTAAAAGTCTTTACCTTTGAGAAGTTTATATTCTAAAAGAGACAAGGCAGATACACAAGTATCAAAAAAGTGCTTTTTCTTCTGTTCCTATTTTTTTCTTTTCACTTTACATTTTCATTCAGTTGCTTTAACCTACAAAAAAATTTGGATATCCATGGATATGTTCCCATTAGATTTATTTTAAAATTATGTAAGTCAAATTTTCTTTAAAACTTTGGCAAGGTTAAAGTATAACTACTGATTGACTTAAAAGGTATTTCCATCACTGATTTAGAAGCCTATTTAGTGAAGGGAAAAGATTTTAATTACTGTATATAAATCTTGGCAAGCCACTCTACATGTTGATATTTTTGGAAAACAAAATTAGAAGAATTACAAATTATTTTCTCATTTAGATTTCATATGAGTTTATCATCATGATAAAATTAATTGTTAACTTTGCAAGACATAAGAGGTATGAAGGGAAACATTTTCCTTACCAGAATGGAGTGCATTCCCAAGTAAATTCTACTTAGGCAAACCAGAGAACACCAGCAGGTGGCAATAACCAGTCCATACATAAGAGGATACTAAAGAGGAAAAAAAGACAAAATATTTATATTTGAATTGAGCTTAATATAATAAATGTCCTGGTTTTCTAAGATGTAAATTAACCAGAAGCCAACTCTTTTTTAACATTTGTTCCTAGAAAGGGCTCCAGACCATGCTACCTCATCAGCCCTATGAGGGGACAGGGAAAATAAGCATGCACAATAAGAGGACTGAACTTTGAGGAATCTTGTAGGGATATGACATAAAAATGCCTCAGTTCCTTGTTACTCATGGAATCTTGGCTTCCTAACTCTGATTTCCCAGATCTGAATTTTTACCCACTAACAAGACTGCGTGCCCATCTCACTCAGCCTTTGGATCCTGGTGCTCTCCAGATAATCTGGACTGGCTCCTCAGTTTATATTTTCTCTTCTTTTAACACAGATGTTTTCTCCTTGGTTCCAGGCACAGATGGTCCCTCCTCCTACCTCTGGGATTTGCCTAATCACAAGCACCTGTCTATAACGCCTCAGGTGGGACATGACATAAGTAAACCATAGATATTATCCTGGAGGTGTACAGAGGGATTGATTAGAACAGTCCTTATTCAATGTGAAGAGTTTCCCAATCAATCTGATGAGACTAACTTTGTTAACTGAATTTGTAACTATGTCTGAGAGTAAGTATCATCTACTTCAGCTATAGAAGCTCTAGGTCTTCAAAAAATCCTGTTAATCTGAATTGAGTTCCTAAAGAACTAGGTATCTTATAGACAATGGGGAAGGCAATCAAGAAGAGGACAACTGCTGGAGCCTCCCCAAGTCAATAATAACAAAAATAACTAGCATTTCTAAAGCCCTTTAAAGTTTGCAAAGAACTTTACAAATATTTTCTCTTTTGATCCTCACAACAACCCTGGAAGGCAGGTGCTAGTATTATCCCCATTTTACAGATCGAGAAACTGAGGCAGACAGAGGTTAAATGATATGCCCAAGGTCACAAAGCTAATAAGTTTCTAAGGCCTGATTTGAACTCAGGACTTCCTGATTCCAGGTTCAAAACTTTTCCAACTCTGTCACCTAAGGTGAAAGAGAGCTACTCCAAATTGTCTCCCCCATGGACCACTGTGCCTCAAAGCACCAAAGTTTGATTTTTTGGAACAGTAATTATTTAACAGAAATGAGAGTATAAAGTAGTGGGGGAGGGGTGTTAATCAGTGGAGACCCTCTTCAATTTGATGAGTTTCCTAACCCACCTGATGAGATCAAGGGATGTGGCCCTTCATTTGGCAGCATCGGAGAGACACCTTACCAAGGAGTACAAGTCTAAGTCCTGGAGCTTTAGTGACTGGGTTTCAATGAATGGGGCAGCCTTAGAAATTTTGAGATGCCTTGAAGGTTGGAGGATGAATTCTCCTCAGAGGAACCACCCCTTCCTGTGCTCCATGAAACTGAGCTAACAGCTGGTTCCTCTCTCTAGACCCCTCTGGTGGGGGTAGAAGAGTTGGGAGGTAGAGGTTTAGGATTTATGCCAAAATGGTGCCTTGCAACAGAAGTACATGCATGAGAGGAAAGATCCTGACAACAGACTTTCCCAGCTCAATAGCTGGTAATAATTGGGAAACATGGATTTCCAATAGAAGCATATGGCAGAGGCGAACAGATTCATGGTCTTTTTAGCATATGAGAAATTCATGAACAATGTTTGTAGCAACCAAAGATAGAGATGGGCACTTTTGGATTCCCTAGCCAATATGACGATTCTAGAAGCTAGAATTTTAGCAGAGGAGGGAAATTATTTGAATAGCACTAGCTTTGGTAATTACCTTGTGGGCAACCCCAACTTCAAGAGTTAGAGGATCTTATATTCAAGACAAAAGAGAATTTTCTGATTCAGAAAGCACCTCAGAAAAAAGGGAGATGTCCATAGTTACAGCATGGCAGCCAATGTGGGTAGCAAAGTCCATGTGTTACTCTGACAACGCAGTAAAACAAGAAGGGAATTGTTCAGCAGGCCCTCAAAGTATGTTTATAGTGTGATCCAACACTTGGCAAGACTGTATAGGTAGGACTTTGTGGGAATAAGGGCTTCACTGGAATATCTCTGCAGCCTTTGACATTTCTGGTCACCTTTCTCCTCCTTGATACTTTCTTCTCTCTCTAGATTTTTGGAACACCACTTTCTCCCAGTTCTCCTCCTGCCTATCTGATCACTCCTTCTCTGTCTCCTTTGCTGGATCCTCATCCAGATTACACTCTCTAATACTCTCAGGTGTCTCTCTGGGTTCTGTCCTGGGCCCTCTTCTCTTCTTCTTCTATACTTCTTCATTTGGTGATCTCATCAACTCCCATGGATTTAAATCTACCTATCTTGCCCCCTTACTTATCTCTGCTGATCTCCAATCTTACATCTCCAACTGCGTTTATAAGACATCTCAAACTCAGTAGACATCTTAAACTCAATGTGTCCAAACCAGAACTCATGTTTTCCCCTAAACTCTCCCCCCACTCCTAACTTCTCTATTACTAAGGCAACACACCATCCTCCTAGGCCCTCAGGCTCACAACCTCCATGTTACCCTGGACTCCTCACTATCTTTTATCCCCCATATCCAATCTGTTACTAAGGCCTGTCAATTTTACCTTTGTAACATCTTTCAAATACATCCCCTTCTCAACTCTCATACAGGCATCACCCTGGTGTAGGCCCTTATCACCTCACACTTGGACTACTGCAAGTGCTTGCTGGCAGGTCTGCCTGCTTCAAATCTCTCCCCACTCTAATCCATCCTACATTTAGCCACCAAAATGATTTTCCTAAAGCTCAGGTCTGATTGAGTCCCCTTGCCTCCGCTCAATAAATTCCAGTGGCTCCCTATTGCCTTCAGGGTCAAATATAAAATCCTTTATTTGGTATTCAAAGCCCTTCATAACCTACCCCCCTCCCATCTTTCCAGTCTTCTTACACGTTACTCCCTCTCACAAACTATTTGATCCAGTGATTCTGGCCTCCTGGCTGGTCCACAAATACAACACTCTTGGCTGTGGGCATTTTCTCTGGCTGTCCCCTATGCCTTGAATGCTCTCCTTCCTCAACTCCACTTACTGACTTCCCTGGCGTCCTGTAAGTCCCAATATCTCTTTCTCAACTCTTCTTAATTCTAGAACTTTCCCTTTTAATTATTCCTTATTTATGCTGTATGTAGCTTATTTGTATATATGTTTGCATGTTATATTTCTCTATTAGATTGTAAGTTTTTTGAGGACAAAGACATTCTTTTGTCTGTTTTTTTTTCCCCAGTGCCTAGCACAATGCCTAGTACATAGAAGGAGTTTAGGAAATGTTGATTAATTGGTTGATGTCAGAGGGGCGTCCCAATAGCAACCCCAAAATTCAATTTTTTTCTTGGGGGAACTGATGGGTTGAGTACTAAATGTGTTTTCCATATATCTATCTGTTCTTGGGCTCCTGTGGGTCTTCTGCATTTTATGCATTTTCTATAGGATAAAATAAAGACTATGCCATACCCAATATCTTTATTGTACACTGGTTGTTCATATGGGAGCTAGAGGTTCCTTATATCCACATTTGGAGAAAACTAGAAATGAGCTCTATAACTTGAGCAAATCTCCAGTGAATTCAGTAGCTCTTTTATGAATACTATCTAGAAAGCCATGGATAAGAATTTAAACAGGCTAAGGGAGAATTAATGCATTATGAGATGCACCCGTGGGGAATGGCACTATTCCAATGAAATCATCAAACAAGTTATTTGTATACATGCTTATATATACTCTAATTGCTCTCCAAAGGTAAATTAGGGCCTAAGAAATCTTACCATATGAGAGAGGCTATTCAGTCCGGTAGATGAAAACTCGGGGCAACAGGGTCTGTTTAATAAAAAACCAGCCATATGATTTTAGACAAATGACTGCTTCCGTGCCTCCACAGAAGTGGGTAGTGCAGAACTTAGAACTCAGGAAGACCTGTGTTCAAATCCTGCATTAGGCACATATTAGCTGTGTGACCCTGGGCAAGTCATTTAACCTCTGACTGCCTCAGTTTCCTCACCTGTGAAACAGGAAGAAAATAGCACCTAACCTGCTAGGGTTGTTGTGAGGATCAAATGAGTTAACATATATAATGTACTTTGTAAACCCTAAAGTGCTACATGTTATTATTTTAGCTATTCATATTATTACCTACCTGAGTTAGGATAAAACATAATAGTTAAGATAAAACATAATGCATGTAAAAGTATTTTGTTAAATATTATTACCAGATGAGAGAGAACTCCAATAAGTTTGTCATTCAAGAAGGAGTTTTTGATTCTTGAAAGATTTGAAATGATCTACACTAAATGACCTTATACAGCTCTTCATCTGAGAAGATCTTGCTACTCCTAGTCCGGGACAGTTCAACTAGAAATGAAAAAGACAAGGAGCATTTTTGCTCTACTATATCACTTACAAAAAACCCCTACTACTCTATGTTCTGATGCCAATCTGGGAGTGACTTTAATAAAAACTAACAGCATTAATTCAATTTTAGCTACACAGTTTGACTTTAATGCTCCTTTTACTTATTCTTTGGGTCAATTAGAAATTGGATCTTCTCTAAAAATGTATTTCATCATATGTAATGTTGATCAAACCAAGGAGAGCTGTAAATTCCACAGAAGAACAGATTTAGAAAACTCAGAGGAAAAGGAAACACGAGTAAAAAGCCAAACTTGAATTAGTATCAGTTAATTTTTTTCAGTGTTTCTCCACCTAGAATGTGTTTCATTTAAGACAATTAATCACTACTAAAGGATGTTTTTCCATCATGTTATCAAGTGGCAACCTCTTAGTGAATTCATTATAACTTTCTACTGTTTCTTCTACTACATCTATGTACCAGTTTTGTTGATCAGGTGATAGAAGAGAAATCTCAGCTTATGCTAAATAAAAATCATTACTTGGGAACCATTGTTTGCAGTAAACTAGAAATGAAATATGGTGATAGGTAATCCTCATCTAGCAAACACTTGGTCTTC